TTTGTAGCACTAGTCGAGTAGTTTGTGGGCTATCAAGATCTCGACGAACTGATGTATAGTTTTCAAGGGAGGATGCCAGGACGGGCCAAAGTAGGTTTCGGGGATACGCTTACCATGAAGAAGTAAAAAGTGTTAGAGACTTCATTGTTGCGTCATACAAACAAACTTGTAAGCCGTTTTCATTTGAATATAAATAAAGTTAAGTTTTGTTGGATTGTGAGCTCGTCCAACACGCTATAAAACGAGTGATATCTGCTAATACAGATAGGATTCTCCAGTCAAAAATTCTAATGTCAGGCGAGAAAACTTCATTTGCGGAATGAAATATACAACTCTGTATGCTCTTTCCAGCTAGCAGTTTGAGAGCGCTTGTTAGTATTAGGTAAGGTCGGATTTCATTGTTCTGGCATCCCTAAAAATGCTTCAATTCAGAACCTATGGCCGAGGAAAACCGTGTTCGGAATAATTTTTCCATGGAGCGACAGGAGTCTTTACATACCTTTAGTAGGACTATTAATTGCATATAGCCAAACCTTCCCAGCTTTTAGCTCATGTAATACTGGGCGGACCTGTATGGAAGTACCTATAGCAAGTATACGAAATTAAACAATCGTCTATAGATCAGTCACCTTCTTGATTTGTTCGTCACTAAAATCCCAACATTCTTTCGCTAATTTTTCATTATACGCTAATGAATTTGCCTTAGCTGGTTTGCAATCGGCATGAAACTCGCCAGGTTTCGCTTTGTCAGATAGTGCGCAATAGAGACTTGTCTGTGCTCCTCGGTACGACGATTTACCAAACAAATAGAAAATCATCTGAAAAGAGATTTTTAGCAATATCGGCCATTCTCGTAATATTTCTGTATTAATCGAACCAGGATGCAGAGAATATGCACATAAACCTTGCTCACCGTAACGGCGCTGCAATTCGCGTGAATGCCAGATCTGAGCTAATTTTGATTGACCATAGGTAATTCCACGAAGGTAAGATGAGGAAGGAAAATTATAGTCAATACCACTTTTGGGCACGAAATAGTTCGCCCAACTACTAACATTGACAACTCGTGCTTTTGATCGTATAAGTAGAGGAAGAAGTAGTTGTGTGAGATAAAAATGACCGAGATGATTGGTGCCAAAATGAATTTCTAAGCCATCCGTAGTGAGTGCATGATTTCCAGGAGCTGCACCAGCATTGTTCAAGAGAATATCAATGCGTGTCTCATTATGTAACACCTGATCGGCAAACACTTTTACAGTACTCAGTTCAGATAAATCTAGAATAAAACACGAAAAAGGTGTCTTATTTCGAGTTGAGATATTCCAATCCAAAAGTAAACTAACACCTGCAAAACTGTGGCTCTGCTGTGCGAAAATGGGTGGAGGAAAACTTTTACTGACGGAAGAAAGTGTTTAGAAATTCTCGAGCAAGAAGTAAATATCTGTAATTTTTATTTTTGCATATCATGGGAAAAAAAATTAAGTTGATATTGAGCTGATGAAAAGTGCTTTTCATATTCAGCACATTCGATAATTCCGACGATTTTCTATTTTTGGCGACGTGCTTCCAAAAGTTTAGGAAAAATTTTCAAACTTATATTATTTTGCCATGACAACTTTTTTTCACCATTTTGTTTACAGATTTTTCCTAAACTTTTGAAAGTACCCCTCGCCAAAAATAGGAAATCTTGGAGGAAATAGGAAATCTAGGTGATATGCTTTTTATTTTTTGACTTATCCAAAAGATAAGATGTTAATCGTAACATTTTCAAAAAATCAGAATGTTTTTCTTTCAAGGAAATGTTTTTCGACTTAGAAAATGTTTTTTCTATCTCGTGACATTGTTGGATTTTTCAATTTAAGTTTAGTATAGCAGAAATTTAAAAAGTTTCCGACATGTTAGAGAGATTTTATTTACTTTTCAGAAACGTTTTACATTTCTCCTAAACTAAACCTAAATTGAAAAATCCAGCGAGGTTACGATATTGAAAATATATTTCTCTACCTTTTGAAACCAATCCGAAATTTCTAGCTCGAAAATTGACGGAGATATCTTGAAAGTACGAAACTCTACAGTCGTAAAAAGAGATTTTGAGAAAAACGTGAAAGCAGTTTACGAAATGAAAAACGAAGAACGAAAGAAATACACTAATAGTCCACCGTAGGTTTTTGTGTATGCTAAGCCCAATGAGCGTATGCAGAGACATATGCGAGATGTATATTTGCATATGCAATGATATTTCAACAAAAAACTAATGGTTTTAGAATCGAAGGCTTTCAGAAAACGAGCTAGAAAATCATCAAAAGCCATTTTCCAAGGCATAAAAATTAGTGCGTTGGAAAGAAGATACTTTGCACTCCTCAATCATATATAAATCTCAAAATCAATTTTTTGGACGAAAATTTATTTTTCCGAGCAAGAGGAAAGACCGGGTCTTCAAATAATAATTTTTTCCTGGATACTTATGCAATCCAAATTTTTCTAAACACACAGCTTTGTAGAGCAGACCTTTCTGATCAAAATAAGACCTTGCACAACTCCGTAGGCCTTGCATCAAAAAGTTACAGACATTGCCTAGATACCTGAAGTATTTTCCAAAAGTTTTAATAGCGGTTTGTCGTAGAGAGTTTATTCTTTTGTTTAAAAGAGGAAAAGAAACTACATGATCTCACCGGCGGCGATTTTTGAATTAAGTCTTAGTTTTTTATCGAATTGAGGATTTTTCGGAAGGATTTTTCGAGTTTTCCAGAAAAATCGGCGTCGCTCAGACCATGTAGTTAGGTGTCGGGCTTAAAAAAAACAAACCCGAACTATCCAGCTTGAAGTATATTAAAAAATTCTGGGAAGTACTTGAGGGTTCTTTTTGTACCTTGATCTCTAGAAAACTCCTGAACGTAACCATTAATGGTGATTTTTAAAACACCTCTCATCATTCTAGTATTAGTTCTCTGAAATCCATTGAGGCACTTGTCATTAACGATCTTCCGGCTTCATTTGTGTATGAGGATGCTGATATAACAAGAAAGATTGATTGAAACTTGAACTCGTTATTGTCTGACGGGTAAATTCATATAGACCCTGCCACCATTACATCGACTTTTGGTGCAGGAAACGAAATACACATTTCTAGATACAGTTTTGGACGCTGATTCAAATGGTGTAAACCGCAGGTCGCTAGCGTTGTTAACGATAGATGCAAAATACGCTTGCAGCGGAAAATCGGAATTTCATCGTTTTCCAGCAGAAACAACCTCTTTTGCAAGTCATTTTTAGATCTCCTATCACTGTTGTAGAACCCTCGTTTTTATGTCAAGTGAAAGAGAACATTGAGTTCTATATGAATCGGTGGAAAAATTTCATACGAATACTCCGAAACATTTCCAAAGGTCTCTAGAAAACTCTGGTTTTCCAAAAATCCTGCAGGGGCCCGAAAGCCTCAAATATTTCTCTCAAGCTTACAATTCGATAGCCCGTTCAATTTTGAACATAGAATAGAACTCAATGTTCTCTTTCACTTGACGTAAAAACGAGGGTTCTACAACAGTGATAAGAGATCTAAAAATGACTTGCAAAAGAGGTCGTTTCTGCTGGAAAACGATGAAATTCCGATTTTCCGCTGGAAGCGTATTTTGCATCTATAGTTTTTTCCAACAACGCTAGCAACCTGCGGTTTTCACCATTTGAATCAGCGTCCAAAACTGTATCTAGAAATGTGTATTTCGTTTCCTGCGCCACAACTTTTGTATAACATTGTAGGTATCATCTGGATTGACCCTGACGGTACTGACGCTCTACTGCTTAGTCTTAATCAAAATCCACGAAGGTGATTAACTTTCTAACTTTCTGTTCAATCAAAACAACTGCGCTCACATGTTTACTTACCTAAATGATAACCGACAACCTTGCCGCTCAAAGCTTCTTGCTGTATCGCTTGGGAAATTTCGTCTGCTCTTCGTTGATCTCGAGTACCTATAATGACTTTAGCACCTAATTTTGCCAGTTCAACAGCACATACCCGCCCAATGCCAGATGTCGCTCCGGTAACGATGACAACTTTACCAGATAAATTGATATTATAATCACTGGGTACAAACGAGTTGCCATTCCCTAGTTTACGACAAATGATGGCGACAGTAGTGAAATAGATTATAAATGTTATGAGAGAAAATGATTTATAGAAGTAGACCGAAATGATAACGTTGATCGAGAAAAACACAACAGATTTTATCTCTGGTTGAGATAAATGTGCACTACTCAACATTATTCACTTAAAAATTATGTAACTTACGTAGCTCTTCAGATAATAAACGAAACAATCGCTGGAAAAAAGAAAATTTTCTTTCTATTTTCTTTGTTCTGAGGCGATAACGACGACTACAAGAATAATAAAACATGTGAATATATCGCATGAATAGAGAAAAAGGAAAATGAATACTTTCAATAATGTTGTTGATCGTATCTGTATGCTTTATATAGTATTCTGTCTTATACAAGATTTCTTTTATCTCTACAATATTGTCCGAATTTGGGCCGTCCGACGAAGAAGTAAAAATTCAGGTTAACTAAAAAACTATTGTTGACAAAAAACCGCTTAAATACAAATAAGAATGGAAATACGAGAGAGATAATTAATGCCTGTCGACCAGTGATAGGTAAGAACGATGATAAAAGGTAATACAGATATTGAATACCCATAATGAAAAAAAAATCTTACACTAAGGGCCAGAACCTTTCCTAGGATATTCTTTTTCTATCCATAAATGAGGCAGAATGAGGTAAGATTCTGGCGTCGTTATGTAGACGACACTTTTATTCTTTTGGATAAACGTGTCGACTCACATAGGATAGCTGCTTTACTATCGTCTTTCCTTGCATCATTAGCTCTTACGTTCGAACTATAGGATAAAAAAAACTGTATACCATTTTTAGATGTACATATAACTCGTCTAAGCTGATTGAGTCCTGACCCGAGTGTTTATTATACTTTACCAAAAGAATATATTGATTCAAATATCTTTCAAAAACAAAATAAATATTCGATTTTATTCAAACTTTCTAGAACGTTTCTGTCTAGTCAGGTAACATCTGCGCCGATAGACAGAATGTTTTCCTAAAGCGATTTTTTAATGCACCCTCATCGTATGAGGCTCACATCAAAAAATTTAAGTTTGTTAACGTATTTGAAATGTAATGTAATGTAATTCTTGATGCGACTCGAGCCTGGACTCAAAGCCTTCGAGTCTGAGTCAGATGGCTTTGAGTCCAGGTCCGAGTCGCATCAAGAATTGACTTGAGCCATCTTGGGTCATTTTCTAGAGGAAAACTTCCTCCTGATTAATGTTTTTAAGAACTGCTTGCAGGTTCTACTGTTTTATTCATTCGTTTATACTCATACCGTTGAACACTTGCTACGTGTTATGTGGTCTCTTTTTTTCTAACCTACATTTAAAGATGGCCACTATATAATTCAATCCACAAAGAAGACGCTTTTTTACGAAACAAGTTTAAAAACACTTTATAAAAAATGCTTATTACATTTCAAATACGTTAACAAACTTAAATTTGTAACATTAACACTAACAAACTTAAATTAAGGGCCGAATTCAGATAAATTATATACCATCCTTGCAGTTTTTCATGGTGATTCCGAATATGTATATATAATGTAGGAAAAAATGTTTTTGAGTGCCAAAAAGTCAGTTTACCTCAAAAATCGAGGGATTTTGGAAAACCAATATCTCAGTCCAGGAAAATATGCGCACCTCTGCGCATTCACCATAGATGTACGGCCTCGCGAGGAACATTTTGATATAAAAATATGTTAGTTCAGACCTGCGCTAAGCTGCGCGTTCTCAAAAATACCGGAGAGAGCCTTTACAGCCTAGACCGTTTTCGAAAGAATCCATTCCAAAACTCTTAAGTTTCATTCGAAAAAGAAAATTCTTTTTTATGTCGTATTCATCGGGCTGTGTTCGTCCCGAATATGATGTCGAGGGTGTTGTTATTCTAATTTACTATCCTTCAATAAAAATCGAAATTTTCTGAAAAAATAACGCATTTACATGGTGTTTTTGCATTTCAAATCTTTTATAGAAGGAAAAGTCGTAGAATAAAAATTCTTTCGCCATTA